TTAACATAAAGGGTTATTATAATAGAAATGCACATAATACGGTTTACGAAACGTCCCGGGACATTGTATTGTAATGCGAATGGGGAGAATGTAACGTTATAAGTACACCGCTGTAAACTCATAGAATTTTACAATAACGCAACATATTGTATTTGCATAAAATTATTGCAGATACGTTGTGTCGTTCCCTCGCCGAACTCCGCAGAAACATTTCCGCTAAAAAATAAATTCAACAATGAAATAAATCCGCCCACTATAATTTACGAATAAACTCAACACTAAAAGGATTCAACACACGTAAGCAACAAAAATAAACGCGTGTACTGTGTGTCAAATTAGAAATTTCCACAAGCTCAAATATCGTTATAATGAAAAATTGAAATTGAAAAACTACAAAATATGCAATTGTATTTTGATGTGTTATATAAAAAATTAACCGATATTATAAACTTTTTCCTAAAGTAAAAATGATACAAAAAAGCAGCCATATAATTGTGTTATACTGGCGATACTTTTTTTTTGTGGCTAGGAAAACGTCGATTGCTTACGAGAAGGGTGAAGGTTTTAATTGTTTTTACTGTACACGGTACAAGCCAAAGCGTATTAATAAACCGGGCCGAATGAAAAATGAAAGGGGAAAGTCCATTTTCGCAAGTTAATAACGATTGATATTACATTTTAGGTTGGGCATCGTTTTCTCGTTTTGTGCCACAGTAATACTGTATACTTTTAAATCAACAATATTGAATTTGAAACGGTTCGTCTGGAAAGTCGATTCCGAGCTGGGGACAAAAGACGCGGTGATGAATCCTACGACTCGGAACAAATTTAAGGACAATGCAAAAAGAAAATGAGCGGATAAAAAAATGAAAAAAAAACACGATAAAATGAAATAATACGAGGGGAGTTGTGCGGAGCGTACGTGAGTCGAACGTTACCGTGTTGTTGATTTGAATAACGAGTATTATGTATAGAATCAAATTGGTTATTTATTTTGCCCTCTTTAGGCACACAAAGTCAATTTAGACAGGTTTCTGGCGAATGCGTGTGTGTGTGTGTGTACGTTCGTTTATTATGTGTGTACAACAAATCTGTCGTTTCTTTGATCTCAATAACTTCTTTGTAAGAACTTCCAAGCCGAAGTACTTTTAAAGTTCCGCGTTTAATGCTGTCGTCGGTGTGCAAATTGGGGTTTTATGTTGGCAAATAAAGAATATTTTATTGGTGACACGAGGTCGAACACGAGTCGACAGTTTTGTACTCGGAGAGTTTAGCGCCACTTGAAGCGGTTCGACGGGAAATTCTATTGGAAACGGTCATTTTCCATTCATTGTTTCCACGTTCGGAGCATGATGTACTGGACGCGACATTAAAAAAAAAAAACGATTTAGTTTGCCCGATTGGTCTGCGCGATCCGAGATGATAATAGACCACACGGCGGAACAATGAGATCTGTCGGAGATGTTGTCTACACAAGGAGCAGTTTTACTTGTTGTGTTTTCGTGTGTTATTTTCGGTTTGAATGAAACGAAGCAAAAATGGCGCACCTATCTGACCGAGAAGATCTGGCGAAATCATACGGGGAACGTGATACGGGTGTGTGTGCGCGTTTACCCGGCCGGGATGGCACCGGTAACTGGTTTTCTCCTTGAAACACACGCCGATGACGACCGCCGGAAGTATTATGTCGAGTCCAGTTTTTATCGAGTACACACAACAAAGCAACCATATATTATACGGTCACAAAAGCCAGATGAAACAACAGCGGGAAAAATATCGAATTACCCAACGCGGCTTATTGCAAAATAGCGTATTTGCCATGTGATGTTCTCTCTGTTGCACACACTTTTGCAGTGTGTCCCTAACCTAATGTCTGTCTGTCTGTCTGCCTATACAACATTTGCTACGGCACGTTGCACACGCGGGTTACCCGAAAATCAAATGCGCGTAAATTTCGATTTGTGCTCGGCCAACAACAATGTGGCGCCGTTCACCTTACCCTTGTGCGGTAAGGTGTGTGTTTTCGGCAGCCTCTTGACCGATAAGCTAAAAGGCGCCACAAAAACAACACGGACTTGTTTATATGAACACGCGTCTTGTGCTACGACCCCAAAAAACTCGGCAAGGACGTTACAAAACAAACTCGTCGAGTATCTTTTTAAAACCGCCGCGTACCACCACCTCGTACGGTCGATGCCATCGCCTTGCAGTGTGCGTTCGACTCCGGCAAAATAGAATAATTTCTGTACGAGAGAACCGTGGGATTAGCCGCCCCCGTATTTTTTATATATACACTTCACTTTTACACAAACAGCAGAGTGTGTACACACGAAAATAGTAGTAGCACATGTATCGTATTACCAAACTGCCCGCGTAATAGGTTTTTTCCTTTAAATCGCCAATGGGCGTCGGTGGTTTTTTTAGTAGAGTCAATCGAAAATCCACCCCTCTTTGCCGCCGATTTTATTACCTTTTTGTTTATCATTTTACAAAGTCTCGATAAGTAGCTCGTACCAGTTTTGTCTTGTCGAAATATGTAGCAATTCATTTTAAGTATTTCTTGTGACATTTCGATATTTGACCGCAGCAGATATCCATTTAAGGAACACACGATTTTTGTTTGCTCTCCAAGTATTTCCAGAAACAACTCGGTAATGGAGACCGGAGGTTTAGTTAGTTTGACTGGTACTCGACATTTTTTTTTCCTCCGCCCAGATAATTTTCTCTTGACGTACACCGCCGGAGTGGGTTCTGCTTAGCTCCGATGGCGCCTCTAATTTGCGCAAGTCATCGGATTATATAAAAATAAATATTGGTTTCACTGTTGGCATAGTAGTCTAGTAGGATCGAAATTAAAACTGGTCCGGGCTCGTCCAGACCCAACACGAATCGTTAATTACACGGTACGTTTATTTGAAAGTGTATCGCGTATGAAACACATTAAAACGTCTACTATTCCGATAGTTTACAGCGATTGAACGCGCGTGCTATTTATACTGATATTTCAACGCAATCAAATCACGCGGTCTTATGTGGTGTCTATGCGCATAGTGGTAAAATAGCCTATGAAACCGTCTCCAGTCGTGTCCGAAGAGAGTGTACCTGTTTTGTAGTAGAGAGCATTGTTTGTGGATGCTTAGGAATTTCCGGGCCGACTTGGCCAAAAACACGACGACACGATGGCGACGGTATTTTACCAGGCGGTTGAAGAAAACCGTCAATGTCATCGTCATTAAATAAACATGGCACCGGTTACAGTGGCGACGGAGTCATTAAATTGTCAAGTGTACTAGGTGGGCGGACACTCGAGGAGAGGTAGGGGTCTGGTGAAGGTTGAGCTGACACACACACATACACACACACGCGCGCAGAAATGTAAAACGCCTACCGGCAACAACGTTATTATATGGCGTGTGTATGGAAAAAATCGACAAGAAATCAAGTCGGTGTATTGCAATTACCGAGTCCACCCAAAGCTAATATCTAGAAACGGACTAAAAAAATCACACTGCGTACACGACGGCTTGTGTTATTTATTATCGCTACACTCGTCATTACGCATTGTTACTGAATCGCATGTACACAACACGATTGTTAAAAAAAAAACCGTTTCCTTACCACCCTCCCCCGTCATTCAGTGGCTGTCGCCGACCGCGTTCTTGTTCCCTTGGTCTCAAAACGCCCCGAGGTACTAGTCGTCTACGAGTCGATTACGTTGCGAGTTTTCCAACGATAACATGAAAGTATACTCGAGTTTATTAAAGTTCTGAACGGACGTTCCAATCTACTCGGAAGATCACAGAGTAATTTCTCCTCGTCCGATTGTCTTTGACGAAACGGACTGCACTTCTTGAATATCGAATCATGTTTTAACGTATGCGTTTGTGTGTGCCGAGCAAATAGAGCATGCATAAGACGTACGCCTACCCTAAGACGAAGAGGGGAGGGGGATGTTTTTGTACGGCCGATTAGGCTTCGTCGTCCAAGTCGACGGGGTCGCGAGCGATTAAAGAGGGCGAGGGCGCTGCCGCCGTTGCACATTCAAAAGACCGTTAACAGGATAAAAGAGAAAACACGGGCCGTGAAATATGCCAGTGAGATTCGACGGGAAATGGCGTGTGTCGATGGGAAATGCTTTACGGCAGATGGTGTGAAATCGACTTGTTACAAGATTAACCGCATTAAAAGTTTATAGAACGAAACGCGATTAACAATTATCACTGCGTTTGTGTCGACTACACTCCATTGCTCCGGTCAAACAGATGTTTGGTCGTCTCGTTGATTTTACACTGTGCAGTAATAGATCGCCGCGACCAACAAGTGAAATTCGATCTAACTCGGTCTCTAAACAAATTAGAAGACATTCAGTGTCGTCGCTGTTCTGACACCGAATTGAAATTGCAGTTTTCTCTTTTTAAGCTCGTTGCGTTATCGCGTTAAAAGTTCATGCGCGGGAGGTGAATCGCCGCGCTAAATAATGGTGATATTTTTTAACTGCAGTGTTGACATACCTGCATCGTGTGAACGGTACTTTGTGGTTAATAACCAGCCCGANTGCAGTGTTGACATACCCGCATCGTGTGAACGGTACTTTGTGGTTAATAACCGGACCGGTCGCTGTTGTAATAATAAAGCGCGTGGGCCTTTTAAATTGAACCGATTGTGTTCGTATTAAACGTGATTAGTGTGTGTATCGGTAGCCACAAGGGGACGACTACCTTTCAAACAAAAACGCTGTTCTTTATTGTAAAATTTGTCCTCGGGTCATTTCCCCCGTACCATTGTCGTTTATATCCGCAAAAAAATTATCTCGACAACGGGGTATGGGTTATTGACGTCTAATGGATATGACCGTGTAACTGAGTTGTGGTATTGTTGTCGCGCGATAACATTCGGTGGTGACATTCGATTGTGCTATGCGTTATGAGCTTTGTAAAAAAAAGAAAAAAATGATTATTTTCATATCGTTGTATTTATTGGAATGTTTTTCTGTTTTGTAGAATGCAACAGCAACAACTAGCCGCCCAGCTGGTACATTCTGGTGGCCGTCATCTCAACTTGAGGAGGTCCATGTCACCGGGAGCTCTGAGCACTACGGATTCCGATTCCAGCATTAGTTTGGGCGCCCCTTCGCCCGGCCCTCCCCCGGCCTTGCATTCCATGACGCCTCAGCTTATGTCGGTGGATCCGCCACGCATAGGGCTCACCAATCCATCGACTTGCACGTTGCCGCAACCGCTGGCTCTGCACAGACCGTTTACGTGATACAGCCCGACTCACCCGCCCATCAGCGGTTGGTGATGTCCGTCATAAAAAAATGCCACGAAGAAGAAAACTTTTGAAAATATTTTCACGTGTTTATTTGTTTGTTTGAAATCGGCCAAGTCAAACTGAAAAAGTCGTCTCGCTTAAAAATTTATGTGATACTGTTGCGTGGAATACCGCGAGTTACACTTCTTATGAATTTATTCGAAAAACATACAATGTGGTCTGTTTTTTTAATCTATCCATTGATTTGATATTTATTCGTACTTATAAGGTGTTTTAAGTGTATTTTTGTCTAGTAATTTCGATCGAGAACGGTATGTACATGACAATGCATTATACTGAAGGCTCACGATTATTTAGTATAATTAATAGTGAAAATATACTTATCGATTGTACTCATTGATATAATTACTGTTGTTGTTTATCTAGAGATGAAATGTTTTAGATAATATTACTACCCACCTATTTTATATTATTCAACGCCTGTACCTCGACGCTATATGATTATTATTGTATTATAAATAGTTTACATAGGTTATAATTTTGTAAATATCAAATATTGATTTTAGTATTTATGTTTATAAACGCGGTGCAATTAACATTGATTTAGTGTTGTACATATAATTTCCTTATCTATATTATAAATATATTTACCTTTATATATAAAAATGTATGTACACGTAGTGGTAGCTAATAATATATATTTATTGTGTTTTAATAATAATGATATTATTATATTGTGTAAAAATCGAAAACATGCAAAAAATTCTATATATTTTTTCCATAATCATTACGGCTCGCTATCGATATAACTTACAACTGTATGTAAACTTGAGTAGCAAGTATAATTTTTTTCTTGCCGTGTTGTATAATGAGCCACGTAGTGTTGTTTTGAATCTGTTACGACTACTAATCGAATTGTTTGTACTGAACATAACGGAAATATATATTATTATTAATTGTTTGTTAATTGTTATTTGTTTTGATTATTAGACCCTTTCGCAGTGCGAACCAATAGAGCTATTGATTCGACATGCAAATTTTTATTCGGCCGGCCAAAAGGTCACCTTAAAAGATGTGTGGTCGGATGATCACGTGCGTGTTTAAAAATATACGGCGGCTGGTGTACAATGAGTTTAGGTTTGAGTGACACCCCTTAAATAAGTCACACATAAACGATACACTATAATGTGTCGGTACGTGATTTATTCGTGAACCAACGGATTACCTACTCGTCCTGCCGGTCTCGTACATATCACTCATAAATGTACAGGATAATAATAACACAGCATTGTGGTTATTTAATTTTTCTGGAAGATTATAATACTTTCCTTGTCACTTGTTTGAAGGAACGTGCGGCACTCCGTGCTACCTATACAGAACAGTCGGGTATTGGGTTAAAAAACACAATACTCGTAAAGTAGTCGCACAGATATGTTTCGAATGAAACGAAAACAAAAACTAACTCGAACGTGAGATCCGTTCAATATCTTTGGAAATTGATCGTCAGGTATATTTGTTGAACCGGAAATGAACTTTTCTATTTTAAAAAATCGTGTCTTGCGTAAACTAATCCGATCATTTAGAAGTTAAATTACTCTGATAGGTAGTAACTATATATATATGTGTGTGTTTAAGTTAGTAGTGAAAATTGTTTAATAAATTGAAAACCCGAAATATTGTCGGTCTGTTGATGTTGATATTTAAATAAAGAGACGCTCATAGTCTTCTATTGAGTTCATATTTCTTATTAAAACATGACGCCGTGGACGAATTTTAACTATTTATCGATGAATTATCGTTTTTAGTGATAGTGTTAGAAGTATAATTATATTATATTTTAATAGTTAATCAGTACTCGTGATTTTACTGTTTTGGTGACCGTATATAAAACATATTTATAATAATGGATAAACGAATCTCCAGTGAGTTAATAATAACCGGTAACCTACAAAAAGACTAGTTAAATTAGAAAAAAAAGTTTTGAAATTGTCTATTAGTTACAGAGAAAACATTATATAACTTGTTAAATTTCGAGGAAAAATAATTAAAGTTCTAAAAAAATAATATATCGACAAGAAAAATATTGTGTATGAAAGACATTGTTCTTTAAATTATAAAACAGAAATTGATAGTCGAGTCACTGAACTCGAAATAAAATTTGCTAGCTGTGAACATGATGAATTAACAGAATTAATTATCAAGAACCGAATATTAATGAATGTAAATAATCTAATGTTACAAGAAATTTTAATTGGTATGTCTGAAGTATAATTAAATAAAGTGGTCAAAAATCAGACGTACTGAAAATACTAACACATAAATGGTTCAAATAAGTACCAAGAAAGAAAATAGTTTTTCAGTGAGCCTAATATATAAAATCTAAACAAAATATTTACTAAAAATAAAAGTTACAGTGGTAACTTAAATTACTCAGTTAGTAATTCAATGTATTCTAAAATAATACTAAAAGTAACAAAAATAGAAATAACATCAAAATGTGTTGCTCAAGACAAAATAGAAAACATGAATTTAATAATTGTGTCACATAATGTCAAACTTAAGTCCTTTATGTAGACGATTCAACCATTGGGTCATAATTTGTAATAATTAAGAAATGGCCTTTGTCAATGATGCTGAAGTTCAAAACGATGACACTCCAAAAGATCACAAGAATTCTATTAATGTCAACATGAAGTTGGATACTGAATTCCAAGTAAATGTATTATCATTCAAATTATTAAAAAATTAAATAATATTAATCTTTTATAAACTAGAGATAAATTAGAAACATACGAGGGCTTAAAATAAAATCGGTTAGCAAATCAATATAACATGTTCTATCAAAAAGGAAAAAAAAATATTAGGCTACTGTTTCTGATTGTTGATTTAAATGTGCAACTATTATCAAGGATTTTTACTATTCAAAGGATACACTGCAATCGGGTTAATTGAAAAGAAATTTAGAGTAGATCGAATTAGTAGTGAAATACAAGTTATCTAGCTTGTAATACAAAAGATAAAATAAATAGTTTAAACAGAGTGGTCAATTTTAATGCAAAATATATTGTTTATTGTCAATGGAACAGTGTGTTTTTAATACTACCTAGAAATTAAGAAAAAAAAAATTAGAAACACTAAAATTTAATATAGGAACTTTAAATTTCGTTCATTTTTCTCATAAAAATGAGTTTGCTTACATACTTTGATCCAGAAATCCGTTCTTCTTGGAATGAATTCCTTCCAAACACTGGTGGGTATATATCCTTGTGCGTATAAAATAAAAATAATGAATAATGCTGCTAGAATTATAAAACCATCTAGAAGATGGATTTAGTAAAATTAAAAAGTGAGCTTTATAATCTTCTGAAAAGTGGTATTATAGAGAAAGTTGAGGAACCTAAACATTGGTTGAATAATATTTTATAGTTCATAAAGGTGGTAATGGTAGTATAAGATTATGTTTGATCCCTACTAATTAAATAAAGTAATCGTGAGAGAATAAACTTTAATGCCACCTACATTTGATATTATTAAACAAAGTTAATAAACAAAAAATATTTTACTTGACAAAAAAAAAAAAGATTTTGGCACATTAAATTTGATAATGCATCATTTGATTTATGTACTTTCTGTGCGCCTATTGGTTATTTTACGTTTATGAGACATCTCTTTAGTGTAGCAAGCTCTCCTGAAACGTTTTTTTAAAAAAGTCGCGAACCATTCAAAGACTTGTATATGAAGAACATTCGGTTCTCACAAATGAAAGTGTAAAGGAATTAAAAAGTGATCATTAAATTTAATGAAAATAAATACAATTTATATTTACAATATTCATATCCATTAGTCTCATAATGAACTTATAAACAAAATGAAAGAAACAATTGGTACATAAAGTGTGGAAGGAAAAAAACAGACTACATCAGGGCCAGATGAAAACTTAATACCTTAAAATGGGCCCCGTATAAAAATATCAGAATAGCTGTCAATAAACATGACTAAGTTAGTAAAATTCGAGATGGACCCTTTAAGCTCGTGGGATTTCGCCTCTTCCTTAAATTCGGCCCCGGACTATATTTGTAATATATGGGGAAAGTATTCTTAATATAAAATCGATAGTCAAAAAAGTATTAAATTATTTAGAAAAAGAAATATTATGTTTTGAGAAAATAAATTATAAATATAAATTTGTGTGATTAATATTGTATTAAATTATTATTGTTAAATATTATATAAACTTGTAATTTTATATTTTGATTATAAAAGAGATGTAGTAAATGTGTATGCATTGTATTATCACATTATATGTCAGTCAGATTATGTTAACATTTAAATAAACAGTTGATCGTAGTCTATGTATAAATGATTATGATTAATTAGACATTACTTGTTAGAGTATTACACACGTTCCGGAAATGGCTCTGGCTTATTAACTATGGGTGTACCTACATTGTTCTACAGTTTACTTAATTACACTGTGATAAATATTCATTTGCGGCTTAGTAGAGGTGTGTATTTATCAAGCTGTAAGTTGTTTAGCAAGCGTGTTCCCATATTAAATATAGAAGAAGCTTATAATGTAGTTAATTTGAAGGTAAATTATTACTGTAGATTTTATTCGTACTAAAGAATAATTTTTGAATTATTTTCTTGAATTTCTGAAAAATACTATTTCTTTTAAATAATACGAGAATCGGATTATTGTTATTTTTTTAATTATAAGCATGTAAATACACCGGAATTTATTATTTTTTCATGTTTTAAATTTAGTTTATTTTTAAAATCCTATACGAGTATGTTTTTTTTTCAATAATAATTGCTGTTAAAATGATTATTATTTTTACTAACGACATTCTTTATTTCATTTATGTATAATGATATTTCTCTTGTAATAGGATTTTGATAAATTTTAGCGTTGTCATCATTTTGTTTTTATTCGCTGTTTTAATGCGGATTACAGCACACATATACTTAATACGCAAGCCTATTGGGGGAGGTACAGAGAGCAGTGTATAGGCGACGAAGCGGATCAGAAGCGTAACAATAACAATATTATAATAATAATGTAAATTCCATGAAGCATAAACGATGGAAATTTAGTGGCCGAAAATATGTGGGGCTCTATTAATACGGATACATAATAATATACCTACACAGTCGGGATAGGTGGAAAGAAGGAGTACTTGTCTAAAAGCTCAACTTCATCGTCGATCTAACTGTCGTATAGCTTTTAGTTCATACACCATTAGAGCTGTTGGCTTGTTGCGAGATTAAATAGTTCTTTTCGTTTTTTTACCCTCTTTCGTACTATAGAACTGATGAACGGATCTGCGCATTTAGCTGCTCTAACTGAGGCAATGGAAACTAAAGGTTTCAAAATTACTTAACGGCCAACACCATAATCGGATTTATCGAATAGGACTCCGTCGTCACATTATTATTGTAATGGTAATATGGTAACTAGCTCGGAGAATTAACACTATAGTGCATTACAACTTTGGTAAAGCTCTATAAGCTTATTCGAACGGTTAAAAAAACCATCCACAACACATTAACCTATTAACGGAAATGTATAATTCAACACAACTAAAGAATTACATTACTATTTTGCAGTTTTATTTTAAGACGGATTCACATTTGAAGGGTACAGGGAAAACGAAATTATAAATTTCTATTATTTTTGTAATAAAACGAAAAGGGACGTTTCAATAGCGGCAAGTACAAACATTGTTTACCGAATGACTTTTATTACATTGTTGTATTACTGCTAATGGGTTATCAAATCAAACCATAACATCAAAATCGAAAAAAATTGATTACTACCGTTTTTCCCTTGTGCTCTACCATTGTTAAATCAATTTTAGTTTCGTTATTAAAAATTTATCCGAGATTTCGCTGAAAAATCTAATAAAATCAACAAAGTCATATAGGCGATACATATTTTATTGTTGATTAAACAATACTTTTGAC